AACTTTACTGCATGGAGGCAGGAAACTAAGTATTTAAGGGTAAAGGAGGGCTTCCCTGGTGGCTCAGAGGTAAAGAATCCGCCTGCAAAGCAGGAAACTTGGGTTCCATCCCTGGGCTGGGAAGATCCCCTGGAGAAGGAAATAGCAACCCACTCCAGTATTCTTGCCTGGGAAATCCCATGGACAGAGAAGCCTGATGGGCTACAGTCCATGGGGTCACAAAAGAGTTGGATGAGACTTAGTGACTAAACAACAACAACCAGGGCAAAGGAACAAGATGTATGCAACTGATTCTCAAATAGTTCCAAATAAAAGTCCCTTGTATATACTATATATATATAGAGAGAGAGAAAAAGTAATTTTAACAGAAGTTTTGAGTAAAGGACATATAGATGCTCTTTGTACTTTTCTGTAACTTCAAAATTATTTCCAAATAAAAAGTTAAACCAAGAAACCCAGGCTCCTTGCATGGCCCACAAGGCACCTGCCGCCGTCCCCAGTCAGCCAGGCCAGTCTTGTGTCGGCCACATGTCCCAGCATACTCAGCTCCATGGACGCGAGCTGCCTTTCAGTTTTCCCAATGCACCAAATTCTTGCCCACCTCTGGGCCTGTGTTCAGCATCCTATTGTTAACTTCTAAATGGAATTCTGTTCCCTCAACTCGATTCTCAGGAATATAGTAACTGTCACTTTCTCAAAATGGCCTTTGAGCTCCCCACCCTCCAACCCAGTATGGAGTTACCAAGTTCTCTGATAGCACACTGAACATTTTCTTCACGATAACTGTCACGGTTGGTAAGAGTCTGTATTTGGGGAGGATTGTGTGAGGTCCATCTTCTCTAGTGGCCTGAAAGTTCCCTGAAGCTAGGGGTCCTGTCTGTTTCATTCATGAATGTTTCCTCCACTTCCGTTACTAGACCCTGCCAACTGCCGGGCACTAGCAAACAGTTGATTAAATGATGCAATCCACCGTGTAAGTTCACCCCCAAACCACTGGCAGCTCTCAGAGAACACATCTCACAGTCTCTCTGTAGCCCCAAGAACTGACTCAAGAGGCTTTGTCTGGGAAGGCTTCTGGGGTTCTTCACCCCACAACAGTGTTTGAAACTAGGAGGCCATGGTAAGAAGGAAGGGGAACTGAGGAGGACCGACATGGTAAGGGGGAGAGGATGAATTCAGTTGGGAGCCTGGAAAATCAGAGAGGATATCAAGGAGGCAGCTGGCTACATCAGGCTGGTGCTCAGAGGGGCAGTCTGGATTAGAAGGAGAGATGAGGAATTCCCTGGTGGTCCAGTGGTTAGGACTCTGCGCTTTCACTGCCAAGGGCCTGGGTTCGATCCCTGGTCAGGGAACTAAGATCCCACAAGCCACATGGCACAGCCAAAGAATTTAAAAAAAAATAGAAGATATGTTCGGCAGTTGAAGCTGTGGACTTTAAGACCTCTCACAGTTCTGTACAAAAGAAAAAGAGTCCAAGGATGGGGCCCAGAGAACCTGGGCTCAAGGGCTAAGCAGAGGAAAACATCTCTGGAAGCAAAGAAACATTGTCCAGAAAAACAGGTATAATATCGTGAGAGTTGTCACAGAAGTTGAAAGGAGGCCCCTTGAGGCACTGAATCCCATACATCTGTGTTTCCTTTTTCCTGATCAAGCTCAGCATCTGGCACCTGGTGAGCTGAGGAAGCCTGGCGGAGGCTAGGGATTCGGACTGTCTGAATCCTGACTCCACAACGGCTGTGTGACTTTGGGTGACAGACTTAACTTTCCCAGACTCCAGGCCCTCAGCTGCAGAACAGGACTCATGCTAGTATTTACTTTATGTGGCTGCTCTCAGAATTTCCCAAGGTCATCTTTGGAGAGCCCTTTGATCCATGTTTGATCTACCATCTAGGAATGAGTGTAAGTACAGACGCAGCAGGAGCAGGGTGGCTGGTTCTGAGTAATAGGATTGTTTAAGTTCAGCCAATAATGGGGCTTCAGACAATGGTCAAATAGCCCCCTCACCACTTTCTATTCCATGTCCCCATCTCTTGATTTGATCCCTATTAAACAAACCTAAGGTGGGTAGGCTCTGTTTAATAATGTCCCGTTTCCAAAGCCTCCTTCTGAAAACTGGCTTTCCCTCCAAATCCCTATCAGATGACTCTGGAGTTTGCCTACCTGATTGCAACTAAACCTTCTTTTGCAGGTAACCATGGTGATATTGTCTCCTCAACACAGCTACCTTCTGTGGGTACAGGTAGGTATTCTCAGGCTCCTTCCTGGGAGAAATCACTGAGGTTTGCCAGTAGCTTCTGGTCATCTCATCTCTGAAGGAAAGGCAAGTGGATGACCATTTCACAGCTTAGAAAGCACTTCCACACCGTAACCTCCCTTTCATCCTCACAACTGCCCTGTGAGGTAGATACAGCAGATAATAACTACACCGGTCCACACGTATCAAGCATTCACAGCGTACCATGCTCCGTGTGAAGCATTTTCATAGATGATCTCATTGAAACTCACCAAAATTCTATGAAATGGGCTCCATCAGTTTTTTGTGGGGTTTTTTTGTTGCCATTTTACAGAAGAGAAAAAGTGGGGCTCAGAGTGGTTAGACCTTGCCCCGGATCAAAGAGGTAGTAAATAATGGATTCAAACCTCAGCCTGTCTGACTCCAAAGCCACATTGTTAACCTTCCATCTTCAGTACTGCCTCACAAAGCAACTGCATTATCTCCCAGGTATCATTCTATCCATTAGATTGAAGCTCAGAGAGGTAAAGTGACTTGTCCAAGGTCTCACAGCCAGGAACTGGTAGAGCTGGAATCCATAACTGGCTTTTCTGGCCCTAAGGCTCCTGAAAAGGTGAAGCTTCATGAGTGGACTTTACTGTATACGAGATAATTATTTCCACAGCAGATCTGCCTTGCCAGTCCTGCTCAGCTTAGAAGAGTATTTTGATGTATAAGTCTTTCCCAACCACGTGAGAACAAATGCTTAACAATAAACATCGAGGTGTTCCTGGTTCGAAGAACTCCGCTGATGTCAAGTAGAAAGCAGGAGAAGGAAACTCTGACAGAGTCCAAGGTTAAGGTAGACATTTCTGGAACTTAGAATGGGAGTACATAGGAGAGAATGGGTCACAGTCTAATGACATTTTTTGGTAGCTGTTGCCATATTAAAACATATTTGTGGGAATTCCCTGGAGGCCCAGTAGTTAGGACTCCACGCATTTACTGCCGTGGGTCTGGGTTCGATCCTTGGCAAGGGAACTAGGATCCCACAAGTCACTAAAAACAACAAACAAAAAAAGATATTCATGGCCCCATCTGCTGTTATCAGTGAGATATTCTCACAAATTAAAGTAAATATTTAACCTGTTTAAATGTATTGTATATCCTATACAAATCCTATGAATGATGTGCTGAGAAAAAGTTTTTGACACAAGTCTTTAAATTGGCAATTTCAACACGATTCGGTGTAGTGCAGTTGATCTTGTTGAAGGTTTAAAACATTTTGTTATCCTAACCCTAGCCAGTAATGTTCTCTGGTACTTTCCTGGTTTTGAATATTTGCTATAGCCTATAATTCTTTGGAACTGCTACTAAAAGTGTATTTCTTATTTATTAAAAAAAGATATAGAAAGTTAGGAAATATACAGAATAATATGATTTCAGGAGTTCCTAAGATTTCCAGGTTTCCAATCCCCAATCCTAGATTGATATCTGTCAGGAATTTGGAAACTTTAGGCCAGAGAAACTGGATGAACACCCTTAAGCAACTCAGTGGAATGGAAAACTGGGGAAAGGCCATCTTCCTTGGCCTCCAGGAGGGTTCCATCCAGGAGCTGGTCCAGGGCAGAGCTTCCCTGGTCACCATCCCTCTGAAGGCAGAGGTCTGAGAAGAGGGCACCTCAGGTAGCCAGGGGCTGAGCTTGAAGCGTTGGACTTGGCATAAAATTCCTATGATGTCACAAGTTGAATCTCAATTGCTGGTGCAAATGTTCACTTGCATTCCAGTGAGTATCTGCTCACTTTAGTATAACAAGTGTTTTATATAATCACCAGGAGAAAAATGGATGCTTCACAAGCAGATGTCCTGTCAGACCAGCACCCCTCACTCATGTGCCAGCAGGAGAAGCGGTGCCCTTGGGCGGGCTGTGGGGTCAGGCAGGCAGACCTTGGTCCGAATGCTGGTTCGGCCACATTCTGGCTGTGTGACTTTTCCTTTGAGCCTTAACCTCTCTGAGACTTAGTTTTTCCTTCTGTAAAATGCTGATAATGAGAACACCAATGGCGCAGGGATGTGGTGAGGATTGAATGAGATCACTCCCATAAATCTCAAGGCCTGGCACGGGGTAAGCCCTCAATCAACTGGAGATGTCGACAATTCCTAGACAGGCCCAGCAGTGCAACCAGCTAGCCGCTCAAAGGGCTCCCTCGCCCAGGGCCTTCTCCAGGTGGGGATTTTCCGGTCCGCTGGAGCTGTGTCAGAAGCTTTGGGCGCTCCCCGCCCGCCCAAGTCGGTTTCCTCGTATCCACGCGGGCCTGCCGGGAGGCTGGCCCCATGGGGAGGTCTTGCTGCAGGTCTTCGGGCGCTGGATGAACCCACCCGCTAGCTTGGCCTCCGGGGAGGCCGGAGGGAGGGAGTGGGGAGGGCATGTGGTCTCCAGGAGCAGAGGGGGCGCGTCCCGGGCTGCCCTTAGCGGGGTGGAGGCCCCGGCGCCCCGCCGCACTCCGGCTGCGATGCGTCCTCAGGCGCTCGATGGGGTCAGATTGTGCCCGGAGCCTTTCCCGCACTTGGGGGGCTGTCGATCCTGCTCTGTGCGTGTGCCGGTGGCGAGCCAGACGAGTGCTGTGACCTTAGGTTCGGGGCAGGCTGGGGCCGCGCGCCCCTGATGATCCCACGGTGGCCGTGGAGCTGGGAAGCTCTCTGCGCCCTCGGGGGGAGCGGGTGGGTGGCTGGATCTTGGGGCGGCCAAGGGAAGCCTCAGGGCCTCGCCTTGCCTGGGGAGCTGGCTCACCTCCCCTTCCCTTGAGGGATCGACCGGGGTGCCCTTGGGGCCTTGCTTCCTCCCCCGGGAGCTCTGGGCTCCGGCGGCGGCCCCGCGGAACTGGGCCGGGCGTTTGTCCGGAGGCCTCTTCTGGGAAGAAGCCGCCTGAGAGGCTCTGTTTTCAGGCCTTTCTCGTGAAGGGCTCTCCTGGTCACCCTCACTCCCGAATCCTGCAGGAAGGAAAGAAGAATCTGTTGTGTTTTCTCCGCAGCCCACCTGAGACTAGGAAGACCCTGCCTTGGGAGCCCTAAATTGAGCAACTTGGTGGACAGTCTGTAACCGACCCATTTCTGACAGCGGGCAAAGGGGTGAGGCTGGGTCCTATGGGAGCTGTTTCTAAAATCGGATAGAACCAGGCAGCTCTACACTTATTTGCAGTGTGATTTTAGGCAAGTTACATAACTTTTTACAAAGCCTCAGTTTGTTCAGCGATCAGGTGGGGATAATAGTATGGGAAGCATCTTGGGAGCCACAGGCCGTCAGGAAGGCAGGGCCTGGCACCCCTTTGTTAAACTGGAAAGATCAATATAAACCTGTAAAGGGTAATTCCCTGTTTGTCCAGTGGTTAGCACTCTGCAATTTCACTGCCAAGGGCATGGGTTCGGGTCCTGATCAGGGAAGTAAGATTCTACACAAATATCCAAAAAGAAAAAAAAAAAAAATCTCCATATGAAAAGTTTTTTTTTAAAGCATACAACACAAAGAGAGAGGAAGGAAGATAGAAAGGGAGGGAAGGAGAGAGGGATGGAGGAAAGGAGGGACTTAAAAGCTCCCTGTACATGGTTGCATGCTTAATCGCTGTCATGTCTGACTCTTCAGGACCCCGTGGACTGTGGCCCGCCAGGCTCCTCTGTCTATGGGATTTTCCAGGCAAGAATACTGGAATGGACTGCCATTCCCTTCTCCAGGGGATCTTCTGGTCCAGGGAGGGAAACTGGGTCTCCTATACTGCAGGTGGATTCTTTACCGTCTGAGCCACCAGGGAAACCCAAGAAGCTCCACAAGTAGCAGGAAAATCTTTACTGTGAACAGGTGCCGGGGCTAATGAACGGTCAGCTCAGGTCTGCCTCTTTAGAACAGTCTAACCTGGTCCTATGTCTGACCGGAACTTGCAGCCTTAGCTGATTCTGAGACAGTTGCCTTTTTCTTTTGGATCAAGTAGGATTACCCAAACTCCAAGAAGGTATAAAAATAATAACTGATAGAATTACTGAAACTCTAGAAAGGTATAAAACTGGAACCTCAAGAAGGTGTCAAAATAAGGACAAGAAAAAGTTAAATCCATAGTCTTAGCCCTTTTATAACCCTATTTGATGGTGGATTTTTTTTAAAAAATTATTTATTTATTTGGCTGTTCCTGGCCTTAGCTGCAGCATGTGGGATCAAGTTCCCTGACCGGGGATTGAACCCTGGCCCCCTGCATTGGGAGCACAGAGTCTTAGCCGCTAGACCACCAGGGAAGTCCTGATGGTGCATTTTTTAGGCAAGTGGCATGTGGAGTCCTTCTGGACCAGAGATCAAACCCATGACCCCTGCATTGGCTGGCAGATTCCTAACCACTGGACCACCAGGGAAGTCCTGATGATGGGTTTTAATAAATTCTGTTGTTATTGTATTTGTGTATCCTTAAAGCATATGAAGTAATCAAAATAATCTTTTGATACTGAATTTGTATTTGCAGTTTAAATTAGTTAAGATAATTTAATTGGTTGAATTTATAATCAAAGCCTAAATCCCCCATTAAAAAATGGCTTTCAGTTTTTTCCTTTTTTTGTTTAATGGAGTCTAATAAATTTAGCATTAAAGTAGTGGATATTTCTGCCAGCCCAGAAGCCTCCTGAAATATGAAGTAATCTCATCATGCAGCTTGTTCCCCAACCAGGGACTGAAACCCAGGCCACACCAGTGAAAGCCTGGAATCCTAACTACTAGGCCACCAGGGAACTTCCTGGTTCTTACTTCACTTTAAAGGAGAAAATGTAGATAAAACACTTGCCACAGGGCCTGCAATCTAGGATGCTTTCAGATCCAGTTCAGATGCTAATTTATTGGAAAGGGAAGAGGTTGGTAGCAGGAGCAGAGGCCAGAAAGACAGTACACAGCGAGGAACTATCACAGGCATGCTGTCATAGGTGGCTATTCAGTCATTCAGCAAACACTAACTGTGGGCCAATAAGGTGCCAGGCATTGGAGATACCCTGGTGAACAAGACAAAGCCTACCATCTTTCCTCCTTCCAAGTCCCACTGGCCATCTCTCTCTTGTAGCCACAAACTACCACCCTTTTCCCTGCAGGTCATCCCTATGAATACATATGTGCGTGCATGCTAAGTTGCTTCAGTTGCATCTGACTCTTTGCCACCCCGTGGATGGTAGCCTGCCATGCTCCTCTGTCCATGGGATTCTCCAGGCAAGAATACTGGAATGGGTTGCCATTTCCTTCTCCAGGGAATCTTCCTGACCCAGGAATTGAACCCAATCTCCTGCACTGGCAGCAGGAATTTTTTTTTTACCACTGGGCCACCTGGGAAACCCTATCTATGAATACAACTAAGATTCCACCTGGCTTCTTCCCTGTCCTAGATTGGGCGACTGGGCTCACCAGAGAGTAACCCTGGCTTTGATGCAAGAGGCAGAGAGCAAAGGCCTCGATTCAGGGCATAGACACTCAGCTAATTTCCACTAAGTGGTTAGGAGCATGGGCTTTGCATCAATCAGATGGCATAGATCTGAGTTCTGACTCAGCTTCTTTTCATCCTTAACTTTGGGCAAGTAATCAGGCCTCAGTTTTCTTGTCTGTCTTGTGGGGATAATAATGTAATGCCTAATTGATAGGGTTCCTGTGAAGGTTAAATGAGGTTATGTGTATATATGAGTATGTGTGTGTGCATATTGTGCTTATATATCCTATCTATATCTATATCTATATGGATATGGGCTCTGAGTAACAGTGGCTTCTGTTTTTATCTTAATATTGCTGACTTCAGGGTTTGTTCCTTGGAAGTTCTTGACTATTTACTTAGATATGACCAAATGGTTTAGATCCAACCAGTAGATAAAACAATTTTTTTTTTCTGAGTACTAATTCATCACCCTATTCAGCTCAACTGATGACCATTTTAATTTTGTATTTCCCCCAAGTCATCAGCAGATAAAAATAAGCCAGTGGAACTTCTCTGGTGGTTGGGAATCTGCCTGCAGATGCATGGGACACAGGTTTGATCTCTAGTCTGGGAAGATCCCACCTGCCGCAGAGCAACTAAGCCCGGGAGCTACAACCACTGAGCCTGTCTGCCCTAGAGCCTGTGTTCTGCAACAAGAGAAACCACTGCAATGAAAAACCCATGCACCACAACTAGAGAAAGCCCTCAAACAACAACAAAGACCCAGTGCAGCCAAAAATTAAAAAGAAAAAAAAAACAGTGAAGAATGTCAGAAAGAAGTGTTCTGGGAAAAAAATATCTCTATAGACAACAGCTAGTGTGGGCAAGTGGTTGGGAAGTACAGTGTATCTGATCCCACTGGGATTAGGGCCACTGCTCATAGCAGTACATGTTGTGTACTGCACAACTGTTGGGGGGGTGGCCCTCACTGTGGTGAACAGAGATCTGTAGAAGGAAAGGGTACCTTTTTCTAATTCACACCAAGTTGCTAAGAATTTATGAACCAGCTGAGGAGCTGACTGGTCTCTCCAGAGGAGCACATGGCCCACATTTTCTTATCTTTGGTGCCAGGCTAGGATCTAAGAGGGCTTCCCAGGTGGTTCAGTGGTAAAGAATCCGCCTGCCAAGCAGGCGACTTGGGTTGAACCCCTAGGTTACGAAGATCCCCTGGAGAAGGGAATGGTAACCTACTCCAATATTCTTGCCTGAAGAATCCCCTGGACAGAGGAGCCTGGTGGGCTACAGTCCACGGGGTCACACAGCGGGGTCACACAGAGTCAGACACTACTTAGAGACTAAACAACAACAAGGATCTAAGAAGCCTCTGGCAGAGGGGGACGGCTTTCTTTCAAGGTCAAGATGGGGATTCCTGTCTGGTGGGCAGAATTCTAAAGATAACCCTCTAAAATTCCTGCCCCTTCGTTCTTCAATCAAACGCTAATCTAGGTACTGCTGTAAAGGGATTTTTGGAGGTGAAATTAAAGATCCAAGTCAGCTGAGGTTAAGATAAAGCAATTATCAACCCATCAGGTAGCTGTTTAAGAAAGTTTTCTCCAGCAGGTGGCAGAAGAGAAAGTCAGAGATGTGAAGCGTGAGGAGGACTGGAGCCCTTGCTGGCTTGCTGATGAAGGGCCCCGTGTGATGAGGAATGCAGTGGCCTTTTTTTGTCCCTTAGTTCCCTGCCCAAGGATCCAACCTAGGCCCCATACAATGGAAGCATGGAGTCCTAACCACTGGACCGCCAAGGCATTCCCTGTGGTGGCCTCTGGAAGAGCTGACACCCACCCTCCACCCCGAAAGCCAGCATGGAGACATGCTACACTGTAAGGAGCTGAATTTGGCCAACAAATGGAACTCACATGCAAGTGGATTTGTCCCCACAGCTTCTAGGTAAGAGCCCACCTCAGTCAGCAACTTGACTTGGGCCTTATAAGACCCTAGGCTTCCCTGATAGTTCAGTTGGTAAAGAATCCACCTGCAATGCAGGAGACCCTGGTTCGATCCCTGGGTTAGGAAGATCCCCTGGAGAAGGGTAAAGGTTATCCACTTCAGTATTCTAGCCTGGAGAATTCCATGGACTGTATAGTCCATGGGGTCGCAGAGTCAGACACAAATGAGCCACTTTCACTTTATGAAACCTTAAGCTGAGAACCCAGCCAAGCCCATAGTCTCTGATCAACAAAAATGTGAGATAATAAATGAGTCTCACTTTAAACTCTAAGTTTGGGCTCATTTGTTATGGAGCAAAGGAAAATGAATATATTTGGTTTCATGAAAGAACCTGGCCAGAGGGATCTCCCTGGTGGTCTAATGGTTAAGACTTTGCCTTTCAACGGAGGGGTTGCAGTTCAGTCCCTAGTGGGGAAGCTAAGATCCCACAAGCCTGGAGGCCAAGAAACCAAAACATAAACCAGAAGTAGTATTGTAATAAATTCAATGAAGACTTAAAAAATGCTCCACATAAAACAAACAAACAAAAAAACTTAAAGAGCCTGACTAAAGAGGTGG